TGAGTTCAATATTGAGCACCACCAGGAGGTAGGGGATGAGAATGTGGGGTACAGGGTACACTCATACATTGTTGATGGGACTGATGGGTTGTACTAATGTACAACCAGTCTGGAAAGCAGTATAGAGATTTATCAAGACTAAGAATGGATCTACCATATCACCTAGCTATCCTATTTCTTGGTATTTATCCAAAACAAAATCAGCATACTATAATGATCTGTGCCTACCAATGTTTATAGCAGCACAATTCACAATAACCAGGTTATAGAATCAGCCTAGGTGTCCCTTAATAGAAGATTGCTTAAATAAAATGTTACACACACACACAAAAAAAATAGAGTTTTATTCAACCATAAAGAAAAATGAAATTATTTCATTTGTGTAACTAGATGGAACTAGAAAACATCATACTGAGTGAAATAAGCCAGACACAGAAAGTCAAGGATTAAATATTTTCTCTTATATGTGGAAGCTAGAGAGTAATAAGGAAACTTTTTAAAAGAGCAGGGAGAGATCTCACGAAAATAGAAGGGAAAACAGTGGAGGAGAGGAAGGGGAATGAAAGGGAGGGAGAAGGGATAGGAAAGGAGAGGAACATCATGTTTACATATGAACACATCATCATGTATGAACACATCATGTATGAAAACACATGTTTTCCACTTTTATGTCTAGCATACCAATTAAAAATTAATCAGCAAAAAACGAGAGTGAGGAACAGCAAGATCAAACCTAAAGATCTAAGAGTAAGGCAAGGACAAGTTTAATATATTGGGAAAATAAAATAAGACGAGTATGGATAGAAAGAAGAAACCAATAGAGGGCAAGTCAGAAGGGTAGATGGGCGATAGGTAGGTAGGCCTCAGAATATTTCTCTTTATTCTGAGTGCAGTGGGAAGATGTTGATGGGCTTGAATCACTGTGGTAACGTGGCTTGGATATTTTAAAGATTACTGTGGCTACAAAGAGCAAGACACATGGTTGAAGACTGTTAAGTGGCATAAGCAATGACAACTTAGTCTAGGAAGATAATGGTGAGATTGCAAAGAGTGGTTAGAATAGGACGGCAGTTACTAACAGAGATGGCAGAAATGAAGAGAGGAAGAGAAGAAATGTTAACATGAAAATGCAAGAATGTCTCTTAGACTTGTAGACTTAGACCAGATGGATGGTGGTGTCATGTACTGCAGGTGTGTATTGGACCACCTCTCCTGCCTGAATGTGGACTGCATGAAGTCTGGCAGCTTGTGTGTCTTGGTTATCACTGTACTGGGCAATTTAAGTCTCTCCCCCAGACTCTCCACCTCACCTTTCTTCCTGCCCTATATCTGCTTGCCCTTCCACAGGTGCTGAAAAGACAACTCTATGGGCAGCTGAGTTCTGCCTCCTGGGTTGACTACACTGCAGCAAGTGGAATCTGAATTCCTCAAGTCTGTGAAAAGACCCGGGTGAGCAACACAGCGACCTAAAGGTATAGTATTAGCTCAGCAGACCAGTAGCAGCTCACCTAGTGGGCAATACAAGGTAGGATGGAGCCAGTAGGCAAATCCCCTCTACTTTTCCC